CTCCTACTCCTCCTACTCCTCCTACTCCTCCTACTCCCCCTGCTACTCCTGCTACTCCTGCTACTCCTGCTACTCCTATCTACTCCTATCTACTCCTGCTACTCCTATCTACTCCTATCTACTCCTACTACTCCTATCTACTCCTACTACTCCTACTACTCCTACTACTCCTACTACTCCTACTACTCCTACTACTGCAACTACTACTTCTACTACTACTACTACTACTACTACTACTACTACTACTACTACTACGTCGGGTCATGACTTCCCTCGTGACTTTACCAAGTTCCCTAGTAGTCTCGTGTCGCAAGGTGTGCTTTTTGTCGACAGTAGTACGACTTATGTTATGAGTAACACAGTCCGTGCCATTGCAGTGACTCTTCTTGCACTCATCTTCCGGAATGGGGTCTATATTATCTACTAAATATTTTATGTATACATATATATATATACACTTTATACCATACTCTGCATTTTATGTTTTTCGCTATATATTGTGCATTAGACATTATGTTGTATATTCCGAAGGAGATTGCCAGCTCCTCCAGGCCCCTTGACTAAGGAATATAGCTTAAACCAGGATCTGGAGAAGTGTATAATTTAAGCCATATTCCTTAATTCAGGGATACTGAGCTCTCTGGGAAGGCTATCGGCGCGAAGCCTCGCGTAAGCCCAAGATCCTCGGCCTAGGCCGAAAATTTAGGGTTTCTTACTAGCTGAATAGGTATGTTTAAACCTTTGGGATGTATACAATCCTACCATAATTGAAAGGTTAACCGTTTTGGGGCTAGGATACTCAGCTCCTACTACGGTTTAGGGTTTAGGGATCCCTTACCGTTACACCCTACAACCCCATGCCTCGAAACCTTGAAGCCCTGCAGCCCTAAGACCGAAAACGCTAGATCCGCTAGCCTTCTGTAACAACACCACAGGCGTGAATCTTCAAGCTCCTATCCCATTCAATACCCACCATGCCTGAAACTGAATCTAGTTACAATCTGTTGCCCAACACAAGTTCTCCCCAGCCAAGCCCTAATCCCACACCCTGAAAACTAAACCTACTTGTCCAGCCTCCTTTTTCAGTTGGTCTAAGCGCTTCTGGATCTTTGTCATCCTGGTGTCCTTTCGTTCAGTCTTCGGTTGTAGGCGGGGGGCTTATGGGGTTGCGGGTCTAGCCGACGAGTTGTCGGGCTTGTTGGCATCAAAATTGTTGAAAAGTCTTCCAACATTTAGGAATGAGGTATGTTTTTTTACATGTTGCATCCGAGTTCATCTAAAAGACTCATGACTGAGAAGAAAAGCTTTTGAATAGGCTCCAAACCACGACAGTGCCGCCATCGATTCTTCCGCATCCGAACCACCTCAGCCCGGCCCTTGGGCCTAGACGCCTTCACAACAGAATCTGGCTGTTCAAACACAGGACAAGACGTAATGATATAATGATGGTTACGACTGGGCCTTGTGAAAAGGACACGTCAGAATCAGGAGTTGTACAAGCGTGTTGCCTTTATAATATTAGTATAGCACTATTTAGCATGGTAGTATTATGTACAGTATTATTACAGTATAGGCATCACCAGCATCATCATTCATCCTTAGCGGAACCCTTCGGTCGTGGAGGTGGAACCTTAGATACTGGAAGCTTTACATCCGTCGCCCGGACCTGCAGATTTCTGGTGCGGGCTGGGGTGGTACGGTTTCAACCTCCTAAACACAACAAGCTGCAAAACAACAAACCTATCTATACACGGAAACCAAATAAAACTACTATAACACTGTCATCTTGTAGCCCATGTATACATATATTATGTCCTGCACGCAAACCCTATTTTAATCATCAGAGTTGCCCTGTCTATGTTGCCAGAAGCCTCTTCTGCCCTTAAACCCGAAATCCTAAACTCTAAACCCTGTATCCTAAACCCCGCAGTACTACATTCCTAAACCCTAAATCCTGAACCCTACATAAAGCCGGTCCTTTCCGCTGAGGCCCTTCTTCAGCTGCTTTCGGACATTCACCTGACAGTTTAGGGTTTTGACGGTTCTGCGGCTTAGTGCGGGGGGGTTAATGTGGAGCACAAAGTGTGTATCGGACAATTCTGCAGTGATCGTATGAGCCCTTGTGATAATCGTCATTGATTCTGTATTGCTCCACATGTGGGACTCTCAGCTTTGCGCAGGTCAGACGTGTACAACCAACTCGACCCGCAGGCACAGTGGATCATCAGGAAAAGGCGGAGCCCTCTGTACATGTTGCCTGCCTACTTCTAGTTTGTAACTGGTAGCGGAGCCTGTGTGCTCCAGTAGGACCTAGTTGAAATGTCGGGCGACTCTTCGGGCCCACCACCTGGCTTCGGGCCGGACGATGCGGGCTCACAAGAGCCTCCAGCGGCGCCTCCTCATCCGAGTTTCGGGGCAGGTGACCGACAGTCTTCGAGCGGTGACCGCCCAGTTGGCGGCCTTTCCAGTGATCCTGTACAAGACAGGCGAGTTCTTCAAAGTGCCCCTGATGTGCCGGGGCAAGCAGAGCAGGAGGGACCTGCGCACCGTGAGCGAGAAGCACAGGATGAAAGTGAGCCAACCTACGACCCCTCACTCCATTGTTGGAACTCCGGAACAAACCACGAGCAGCCGCATGACTCCACTCACCACGAGTGGAATGCGGGAGCGGCTGCAGATCGAGCGTGGGGAGATGGGCGAGCTCATCGTGGCGATTGGAGCGATCGCGCGGATGCCTCAGCTGGCTACGGTAGACGCAGCAGCTGGGAGACGACGACAGTGAACTCCTCGGGCGATGGCTGGACGAGGAGACTACGTGAAGAGGACCCGTGGGCGAGTGGGGGTGATCCATGGCAGCGGGAACCTAAGAAGTTTTGGGGTCACGGAGGGCGAGATGGCCACGAGCGAAGGGATCGAGGGCGTGATTCTGGAGGCTTTCGAGGCGGTCCCTGGGCAGATGGTCGAGACCTAGGACCGGGCGGCGACGATTCGGCGCACCATCGAGGATTGTTCTGGGATGATAGCCGGGATCAGCTTTATCAAGGGCGTGATTCGGGAGGCTTTCTAGGTGGTCCCTGGGCAGATGGTCGAGATCGCTTCCAAGGCTTACGCGATTCCGGATACCATGGTCGCTGGCACGATGTCTCTGGCCCCGGATCAGAACCAGGCTCCTGGCAGGATGGCCGCAGCTATGATGTGCACACGGACTGGGGTGCACAAGGCGGACATGGCGGCTGGCGTGACTCCGATGATGGCTACAAGGGGTCACGGCCGACTGAAAGGATGACAGTCCCCACCTTCTCAGCTGAGGACAATGATGACCTCGGCAACTCGGCGCGCTCCTACCTGAGGCAGATAGAGGTGTGGAAGCGCATCACCCGGGTTCCGGTGAACCAGCTCGGCTTGGTCCTCTACCAGCACCTCAGTGGCAAGGCATGGATCGCTGCTGAGGAGCTTTCGGTCTCAAAGTTGAGTACTTCGGAAGGGCTTGGATACTTTACGTCTTGGGTGTCAGCGAGATTCCTGGACTTGGAAGTTGCTAGAATAGGGCGTGCCTTTTCCGACTTCTTCAGAAAACTCCGTCGCAAACCCTCGCAAACCATCAGGGAGTACAACACCGAGTACGACAGGCTGCATGGAAGGTTGCGAGAGGTCGGCTGCTCTCTTCCTGAGGAGTGTGCGGCGTGGTTGTACCTGGACCGCTTGCAGCTTGAAGAGTCTCAGGAGTTGAACCTTTTAGCGAGCGTTGGAAACAGGTACAGTCTACATCACCTACAGCATGCTGCAGTTCTCCATGACCGAGGTCAGCGCAAGCCCTGGGAAGGAGCGACCGGGAAGGGACGAAGGACAAACTACGCCCACATGACAAACCACGACTCCAGCGATGAAGACGAGGACGGCGAGAACTACGAGGACGGAATCCCGGAGGAAGTTGCGGAAGCGCTGATGACCTACCAGTCGGCAAAGGAGAAGTACCGTGCACAACAGCGCTCCCGAGGCACCGTCGACGGCAACAAGAACGGGAAGGACGAGACCAGCGGGGGCGACAGTCGCCCCAGCGTCGGGGACCGGGACTCCAAGCTCAAGGCTATGAAAGCCCGCTCGTTTTGCGGAGGCTGTGGCAGGAAAGGGCATTGGCACAAGGACGACGCCTGTCCCCTTAACCGGAATGGAGGTGCCAAAGCCGACGTCCCAAAGAACGTGGCCATGACGAATGCGATGCCTGCCGACGTTTACGCGCTGAAGCACGTGTCCGACAACCTCATGGGCGTGGCGGACACCGCGTGTGCCCGCACGGTGGCGGGGACGCAGTGGCTCCAGTCCTACACCAACATCCTCGCTGAGATTGGGGAGAAGCCGCTGCTGAAGAAGGAGTGCGAGGCCTACAGGTTCGGCACGGGAAGAGTTCACTACTCTTCCTTCTACGTCATCGTGGGCTTCAAGCTTGGTGGCTACAACATCCACGTGAGGACTTCGATCATCACCGGGGACATCCCATTGCTCCTCAGCAAAACGGTGCTTGGGAAGCTGGGCATGATTTATGATGTTCAACAGGGCAAGGCCGATTTCCGGGCCATAGGGCTTCGTGACTACGAGCTTGCTTCCACGGCTTCCGGCCATCCGGCCATTCCGATCTGCCCGGTCGGTTTGTCTGCAGGCGAAACGCCGGATCTACAGGTTGAAGACTTGCGACTGCAGCAGATTGGGCAATACATGGAGGTTTATGCTGTAGCTCACTGTGGTCCCCAGCCCCCAAAGTACTCCGGCATCTTCTATGAGAAGAAACTTGATCCTGGAACCCGTGACATGTTGAGTGGTGATCGCTTGTCCCTTGCAGTGTTCCAATCATGGTGGGAGAAGTCGTGTATTGATCGAGATTTTTGGGTTGAGACACCGTCCACCTGGGTGAGAGTGCACATGGTACCACGAAGGGCCACTTTTAATCCTTCTACTTGGCGTACGGGTTCTACTGTGCTCAGGGACATGTTGGTTGCAAACATTGGTGCCACCCGCATGACTGAGAGTGTGTGCTGCAGAACTGGGAAGTGGATAGAGTCGACCGTAGATCAGTGGAGGCCAGGCCAAGTTGATCAACATGTGTTTCCGCTGCTCTGGGTCGGCAGAACTGTGTTCTACAAGTTGCCATCCCCTGGCCCTCCTCACTGCGACCCTCGCGGCTCCGATGGAAGCTCAGCCATGCTCCGAGAAGAGCGTGCCGTTGAGCAAGATGACGAAAGCCCAGTTGATCTCAGAGGCGCTCAGAGTGGGCGCCACGGTGCACCACACATGGTCCGTCCAAGAACTCAGAGCCACGATCAGGGAGCACATCGACACCTACACGGAGAAGACGGCGAGCCAGCGGATGCGAGGACTGAGCTCGATGACGATGCCCGAGCTGACCAAGAAGGCGACCGAGATGGGAGTGCATGTGCCCGAGAAGGTTACGAAGGGAGCGCTGCTGAAGCTGATCCGCGACACGGTCAGCAGCCCCGGGGACACCATCATGACGATCGGACGGTGGAAGGGGAGTCTGTACACGGAGATACCGGACTCCTACGGCAGCTGGGCGGCGGCAGAAGTGGCGAGGTCTCCGAACAGCTCGCCGGAGCTCGTGATGTATGCGAGGTGGTGGAGCGAGCAGCAGAAGAACAAAGCGGGCCGCGCGAAGATCCCGGTGGAGGACGAGGACTACGAGGGGACGATCAGTTCCCGCAGGAGCCCGACCTCGACGGGAACTTCGTGGGAGGAGGTCACAGTCACCCCCTCCAAGGGGTACCGCCAATCAAGTGGGAAAGGGAACACGAAGACGACCCCAAAACGGATGAGTCCCGAGCTGCTGGAGAAGACGGAAGGGAAGATGGACTCGCAGGCGGACGCGGCTGTGTTGCAGGAGATCGCCGACCTGGAGACGAAGTTGGCGATCTTGAAGGACAAGGCCCGGGGATCAAGCGAGTGATTGGCGACGCCGGAGGAGATGAACATCAAGGAGGGCATTCGCGTCTCCTAAGGCATCAAGTTCAGTGCTGTGGGACTGTTTGTGATAGTGAATTTATATCTGAGTCTGAGTATGTGAGGGGGATCAAAACAAGCACGCTGAGCTATGCCACCGGCGTCGACCAGCCAGACCACGGGGTCTACACGACACGGCACCACGAGCACCACGATCAAGCACAACGACGAGTACGTTTTTTAAGTCCCAGCGATGGTCCGGAAGGCCGACTTCGTGATGATAACGGCCCACCTCGACCTGTACGCCATGGTGACGACTCTTGCGAATGGGGGGACTACTCCTTTGAGAACTGCCAGCGCGTCTTGGAGGACCTCGTCTTTGGCCGAGGAAAGCCGACCATGCGGGCGGTACAATTTGCTGAAGAGGACGGGGCCAACTACGACTGCGTAACCTATGGCTTGTTCACCCATGGTGGAGTGCACGGGTTGACGAGAGCTACTAAAGACGATGATGCCTTGGTGAGGTTCCTCAACCACTTTGGCCGAGAGCACCTTGGAGATGAAGCTAAGTGGACATCTATTTCGGTAACTAAGAACGTTGCCATCGGGATCCACAAAGACTCCAACAACCTCCGTGGCTCTCTCAACTACTGCGCGACGGTTGGGTGGAAGAGAGACAAGGGTGGATGGCTGCCAGGCCGCTACCACCGCACCAAAGAGACCTTCTTCGCCTTCGACCCCTTCAAGAAGCATTGCTCGACTACGTGGGAGGGGACACGATGGTGTATAACTTACCACACCGTGAGGGGGATCACCGAGGTCGGCAGCGAGATCAAGAAGTTCCTCCGCGCAGCCGGTTTTCCGGTTGCTCACCACAAGAACTACAAGAAGGAACCCGCAAGCAAACCCCCGCCCAAGAAGAGCGTCAGGAACGGAATCATGAACTCTGCCGGGAAGTTGAGTGTTCTTATGGCAACATTGTTGGCCGCTACGGGAACCTACCTCAACGAGACGATTGGACCTCCTGCTGACTACGACCCCATCGTGATGATGGAGCTTGGCGGGTACGAGGGCACGAGCGAAGCGGTGGAGCTTGGGAAGGCCGTGATTGAGCCACTGATATGGACCGACTTGCTCGACCCCAAGACGCAGGAGAACGCCTACTACTTTGTCACCGGAGCGAGTCCCCGGGAACTACGGATCCACCCCGACGAGATGCCGGGTGCACTTGAGACCTTTGTCAAGGGGTTGATTGGAGAGCAAATTCGCGAAGGAGGAGAAGTTGTACTACGAGGACACCGGGCGCACGAACTAGCAAAGGGGTACGAGAACTACCTGAAGTACAAGACCACCGACAATGAGGACGCATGGGTCATCCTCGGGAAGTCCAAGGACGGAGGCCGCACAACCGGGGAAGGACCAAGACGCCATGATGTGTGTGTCGTCGGGGCTGAAGATAGCCGAGAGGAGAGAGCACCACGGCTAGACGGAAGCGGTATCACTTTCGATGAAAGCGTCCCTGGCATCCTTCAGTCGTCCCTGAGGAGATTGCACCAGAACCTCGGACACCCTAGGAGCGAGGACCTTTGCCGCCACTTACGACTAGCGGGGTGTGAGCCGCACGTTGTCAAGGCTGTGAAAGGGATGCGGTGTGAGACTTGCGAAGCTACCAAGCACGCGCAGATCGCGCGACCCACTGCTTTGCCCAGGCTACTGGACTTCAACACCTGTGTCGGCGTCGATATCTTCTACTGCCACGACATCAATGACGTGAGGCACGCCTTTCTTGCAATTGTCGATTGGGCCACAACCTATCAGGTCGCGGTGTTGCTTGAAGCCGAGACAGGACCGGATATCGAGCGAGCGTTCAACGACCACTGGCTTGGAGTGTTCGGCCCACCCACTACGGTTTCTCTCGACCTCGACGGCAAGGTGCAGGCAGGCCTTGCGCGGTTGTGCGACTGGCACAGCATCAAAGTAAAGGACGTCGCGGCACAAGCAAAGTGGCAGGGCGGGGTGACTGAGAGACAGATTGGGTGGTTCAAGGGAATTTGGGAACGCGTTGTCCACGAGCTGAATGTCGGGAGTGAGGAAGCCGCCCTTGCTGCTTCTATGGTGTGCGCAGCAAAGAACGATTTGAGGAGGAGATGTGGACACAGTCCCAGTCAATGGGTGCTCGGCAGATCGCCGCGTGTCCCCGAAGATCTGTGCGACCCCGACTCCGGCGAGGCGGCGACCTGGGACCTCACAAAGGACTCCAAGTTTCAGCGGGCCACGGCTATGAGAACGAGCGCGAGGATTGCTTTTCATCAAGCACAAGGAGACGATCGTCTGCGACGAGGCCTACTACATCGAGCAAGGACCACCAAGGCAGTCTACGAGATTGGCGACTCAGTGCACTACTGGAACCAGCCTAAGGACAGACGGAGACCACATTGGGCAGGACCGGCGGTGGTTGTCGGCAAGCAAGGAGGAAGTTATTGGGTTTCAAGAGGCGGACGTTGCAGGCTGACGGCCCCCGAACACCTCAGGTGTTCTGGACCTGAGGAAGTTGGCGAGTACCTCACCATGAAAAACGTTCAGAGTGAGGTGACTAAGCTGTTGGCCATGGATATCGACGACCCGGACACCTACGCCGAGGAGACCATCAACGAGGACTACAGGGAGTCCGTCAAGCGGAAGGGCGATGAAGGTGATCATCTTTCCGACTACGAGTACTCCGACTACGAGGGCGACGAGGTGATCCTCGACCCCGAAGGCGACCATGAGATGCCCGACGAACCCCAGGCTATCGAACATGTCCTCCCGAGCCGGCGGATGCGTAAGAAAGGGAAGCCACCAAGCCCGGAAGATGCAGATGAAGTTCTACTTACCAACAAGCCACTGACAAAGAGAGGGCACGCGAAGCGTCAAGAAAAGGAGCTGAAGTGGGAAGAGATCCCCGACCACGCCAAAAATCTCTTCAAGGAGGCCGAGAAGGTCCAGTGGGAAGAACATCTCTCCTACGACGCCTTGGAGCCGCTCGATTTGGAGCAGTCCAGTTTGGTTAGACAGACGGTCCCCCCAGACCGTATCCTACCCTGCCGATGGGCGTATCGTGACAAGAACTGGGCCGCCCGGCAGGCTACCACCGCGGCTGGCGAACAGCCAGCATGGAGATGCAAGAGTAGATTGGTGATCGGGGGCCATCGCGACCCCGACCTTGGCGTGGAAACTCTTTCTACGGACGCTCCTACGTTGTCAAGGCCGGGCTTCCTATGTCTGATGCAGCTACTGGCGAATGGGTTGGAAGCCGAAGACAAGTGGATGGTCGCAGCAGGCGACATTCAGTGTGCCTTCCTGACGGGTGGCTACTTGTCACGTGGGGAGGATTTATTCCTCCATCAACCCCCCCGGGACTTTTGCCCGGGCAACTGGTAAGGATCAAGAAGAACATCTTCGGTCTGGATGGATCTGCAGGACGGCATGGGCAAGACCAGGGTCAGCTACCACGGGAAGGAGTATGCATTCGAGCAGTGTGCACTGGATCCATGCATCTTCGTCCTGAGAGAGTACTGCCAAGGGAAGTTCAGCGGGAAGCCAATCGGCTACGTTGGAAGCCACGTGGACGACTTGCTCATCGTGGCAGGACGCAAAGTGAACAAACTGATTCAAGAGGCCTTGTCACGGGCCTTTCCCATCGAAAAATGGGAAGAGAATCACCTCGACTACATCGGGAGCGAGATCATCTGCGAGAATGACGAGGTGATTGTCACGCAGCGAAAGTACGCGGAGACCCGCTTGTTCGATTTGGAGATCCCGAAGGGGGTCAGTGAAGAGGACCTTGCAGGCCCCGACCTGATTGCGGACAACCAGTCCCTTATCGGGGTGCTCTCGTGGCTCTCGGCCCAGACGCGTCCGGATCTGACATGTAGCGTCAGCTTGGCGCAGCAATTGCAGAAGGCCCCGACGATCGCCGATGTCAAGTTCACCAACCTGATCTCGGCACGGGCGGTGATCTACAAGGACGAGGGCCTACGGTTTCGCCCGATTCCGGACGAGCACTTCGGGGTCATCGTCTACCACGACGCCGCCTGGGCGAACGCCATCTTGGAAGACGAGGCCGACGACTACTTCAAGCTGACCCCTGAGGATCACGAGGCGGGCCTACAGAAGGAGGGTCCATTCGGAACCAATCGCGAGAGAAAAGCCAAGAGGATGAACTCAAAGGTGGCATCGCAGGTCGGCGCGCTCATTGTGTTCGCCGACATGAGGTGTGTGAAGGGCGATGCCGGCAACTTCTCCATTGGCGATTGGAGGTCGCGGGCAGGCCAACGGGTCTGTAGGTCTACTTTCGGGGCTGAGACGCAAGCTTGCGTCGAGGGCCTAGAGGGAGGGCAGTACATGCGATCCTTCATTGAGACTTTGAAGGAGGGTGCCCTTGTGCGCGTCGAGCACGCACGAGCACCCATCTTATGCCTCTCTGACTGCCGATCCCTCTTTGACCACATCCACAAGCAGGGCATCCCACGGGTCCCGACGGACCGAAGACTCGCCATAGACCTTGCTGCCCTACGACAAGGCCTGAGAAGTGAGCGATGGAGCGACAAGTTGCCGCTAGGGTGGGTGCCGAGTAACCTACAACACGGTGATGTGCTCACCAAGCCCACCGACCCAAAGGGTTGGTGGGAAGTGCAACATGGGCGACTTTCGGTGCCCATCGATTTGTCAGACGGTAGCAAAGTCAACAACAATTTTGATAGAAAGAGAACCAGTGTGGAGCACAAAGTGTGTATCGGACAATTCTGCAGTGATCGTATGAGCCCTTGTGATAATCGTCATTGATTCTGTATTGCTCCACATGTGGGACTCTCAGCTTTGCGCAGGTCAGACGTGTACAACCAACTCGACCCGCAGGCACAGTGGATCATCAGGAAAAGGCGGAGCCCTCTGTACATGTTGCCTGCCTACTTCTAGTTTGTAAGTTAAGGCTTAGGGCTTGGGGCTGAGGGGTTAATTTAGGTTTACAGTTTAGGGTTTTGAGGTTTGAGGGTTCAGGATTTGAGGGTTCAAGTTTTTTTGGGGTTTAGGTCTTGAGGGCTTCAAGTCTTAGGGCTTAGGGTTTAGTGCTTTCTGGGTTTGAGGTTTAGTGTTTCGGGTTTCGAGGATTTACGGCTTAGGGCTTAGAGCTTTGAAGGCCGAAGGTTCGGGATCATTGAGGGTCGAGGGTTATGGTTTAGCGTTTTGGAGGGTTTGCGGCTTGGCGTTTAGGGCTTGGAGGGGTTAAGGTTTAGGGTTTGCGGTCTTTGGGGGTCGAGGGTTCAAGGTTCAGGGTTTAGGGTTGATTGTTGAGGGTTTAGGATTGCAATTTAAGGTTTTCAGGGTCGAGGGTTTGAGGCTTTGGGGGGTTTCGAGTTTGGGGTTGACGTTTCAGGGCTTGCAGGCTTGGTAAAGCCGACCATAAACCGTCAACCCTGCCGAACCTACACCCCAAACCTTCCCCAAGCCCTTGTCGACTCGAAGCCTTGTACCTTTCAAAAGCTTAAGCTAAACCCAAGACCCCGACACCTCCACAACCACCCCGGGGGGGGGGGAATCCTGTACCATAGACCATGGACGGGCGGGGGGCGTGGAGCGCGTGACCATATATACCCTACACATCCTGAACCCCAAACCTTTTCAGCCGGTTTAGTAAACCCTGACCCAAACTCTGGGGTACCGGATGTGAGATTGGACCTTTTGGCTTTATAGCTGATGGCTTTGGGGTGGCCATGGCTTGAGGGGCTTATCAGCCCCAAACCCTTCAAAGCACCTTGATTGTACAGTACAAGCTGTACCTAGGCACCCAGCCGAAGAAGAAGACTCTCCTAATTTTTGTGCAAAAAAACTATTGGAACCAAATCCCCATAATGCCCAAACACTGTCCAAGCACCCTGCAACCACACACCCCAACGGCACGGAACCCTTTAACCCTACAACCCTCAACCCTCGCTTAAACCCGAAAGCCCTATGTAAATCTTGCAAGACTCTTTCATGCCGTGAAGCCCTATATTCCCTCATAAAACCGCCAGTATCTCATGGCCACCTGCCAGTTGCGGGGCACCCCATGAGGTGCGGCCTCGTCATGACCGGGGGTTGTTAGAGAAATTTAAGCCGTGGGAGGTTTTAGGGGTTTTCGGGTTCGGAATTTAGGGTTTAGGGTTTAGGGTTTAGGGGTTTAGGGTTTAGGGGTTTAGGGGTTTAGGGTTTAGGGTTTAGGGCGCTGAGGGGTTAGGAATTGGAGCTGTAGGGCCTTCGGGCTGGTGGTTTACGCCAGCACTGCACCATGGCCTGCAAGCCGGAGGTTGCTACTTCTGATGGACGAAATCCTGCATGACCCTAAGGACTCTAAACTATGGGGACTATGGTATATTCCTTATGATGGGTAATGTAGGATTTTGTCCATCAGCAGTATTCGGTGGTTTGTCATGCTTAGGGCGCTGAACAAAGGCTGGATTCGAAACGCCAGAGATGACACCAGTCCCGAATAAGCGCAACATCGTTGGGATATTTTCGCTTAGAACAATCTCTGTTTATACCTGATAGAAAACAAATTACCTCTCAACCACGAGCAGTAACTCAAATCCCCCAACCCCAATCCGAAAAACAGAAAACACCTTATATAAGCCTGAAGCCCCATCTACCCTTCTGGATGCCTGAAAGGAGCCCTTAAAGAACAACCCTGAAACCCAAGGGGATATTGCCTCTTCCGCTTTGGCTCGGTCGACCGTGTTTGTCGCAGACCTGAAGGAGAATCATCGTCAGGCTGTTTCGGGTATAGGGCTTAGGGTGTATAGGGTTTATAGGGTTTAGGGCTTATAGGGTTTATAGGGTTTCGGGTTTAAGGTTTTTGGGTTCAGGGTTTAGAGGGTTTCACGAATGTTCGGCCTTTCTCGGCCATCAGAAAAGTATGGAATGGCTACGATAAGCAGCCTTCAAGGGATGCTCACTCCGAGAACCCCCCCATGTCTTGCTTCTTCGCACGATAATTAGAGTTCAGTTTGTGAGGTCTCCTAGCAGGGTTTAGGTTTCAAAGGATCCATGCACCGGCCGAACAGACGCCGAAACTTCCCTTGAGCCCTAAACCCTGCTCCAAAGCCTAAACACTGTAGAACATAAATCCTGAACCCTGAACCTGAATCAAACAATGTGTGCAGCCTGGGAGCTACAGGAATCGCCCGTTTCGAAAGATGCATTTTTGTACGAGAGCTGCACATGCTGTCAACATAGCGCTTCTGGAAACTTTGAAGGCTGTGCATCCACCGAGACATCTTGGCGGAAAGCTGTTGGGCAGCGAGCTGTGCAGGTGTATTTTAGCTTGTCTGGCAACAGCTTGAACTGGAAAACCCCCATCCCGTCCCCAAACTCAACGCTGAAATGCCAGAATTTACTAAAGCCCGAGGTCTTCAATCTAAAACCGTAAACACACATGAACTCTAAACCCTAAACCCTACACCCTAAACCCTAAGCCCTAAACCTCAAACCCGCCAAAAAGAAAAGCTTTCACGTAAGTCCTTGCTCCGGTCGAGGTGAGAGCATCTCGCAGTGGGGGTCCCCGCTGAGTTCGTATCATAAGAGTGATGGATTTGGGAGTTTCCGAAAAGAGGGGACCCTAAATACTAGGATCCTTACTATAAGGACTTCCAGAAAGGTACCCCTAATTTTCGGAAAGTCCCATTTGTTGTAGTTCTAGTTTTGGGAATATCGAAAACAAGTTCTGAATTAGAGAACCACCCACACACTTCCGAACGACTTGTCGAAGATAGTTGACGGCCTTGAAGCAGATCCACGACTTTTTCAACACTCTCGAAGTCAGAACCATAGTTGCCACCATATTATTGACAATTGCCCAAAATAGGTGAAGGCAGCCCAAAATTCGGCAGAGTCAGCCAAGAACCTAACTATAGCCTAAAAGTCTATGCCGACGCCATAAGCCATGAAGCCTGGAGCGCGATCGGTCCTGATTGACGAAAAAAGCAATATGGAAGCCTTAAGCCCCAATAAACCCTCAACCCCATAAACCCTAATTCCCTCAAGAGCAGGATAAATAACAATTAGTTTCGCTTCGCGTTGCATATTTTCATGTGTGGGAAGAGCTCCAGACCACTTTCCAAGCCCGGCCCAGCCCAGCCCAGCAGCCCACTCCTAGCCCAGCGCAGCCCAGCTCAGCCCAAAACTTGGTCAAAACCCCCAGCCCAAAGCCGATACAAATTCTATTAAACCCCTAAACGAGTTTGAGCATCGGGCCGTGCGAAGCCCATCGATCCGAAGGAGGATGCCTGCTGCGCTTTCGCAAGACGGTTCTAGAGTTCAGGGTTTCGAGTTTAGGGTTTGGGGGGAAGCCGGTTTAGAGTTCAGTGTTTAGGGTTTAGAATCTATGGTCTACGCGGGGTGGGGATTAGGGGGCGCTGTCGGGTTCTCAAGCTGTTCTATGCTAGACGCTGCGCCCTTTATTGGTTTCCAACTTGGGGCGTCCGTCACTTGTTGAGGGCCTTGAAGTTGAAGCTGGTTGGTTTGGTGCTCTCATGTTGCCGCGTCTCCTTATGCTTTTCTGGGTTCTTGCGGAGTCAGTTAGTTAATCTAGTTCAAGTAACCATGATAGGAATCTGTAGTAGATAATATACTTCCCTAAAAACTGACGATGGTAACTCGTCTTATTCAATGCCTTCTACAATGTACAATGACCCTGAACCGTTTTTATTGAGCCATTATGGGAACCCTTCTTAACAGCCAGTAGATAACGTGATTTCCTATCATGGTAACTTAAACTAAACCACCAAAATACCGCACCTACACTTGAATTCGACTCCTTAGCTAGGACCAGAATGCTGCCCTGCGAGCCTTCTTGGCGCCGCCGGCCGCCTCTTCTTTCTGCGCTGCTTGCGCGGCAGCGAACCTCGCTGTGCGTTTTTTGTTGTTAAGTGTGTTGGCCTTTCACTCCGCCAAGCGTTTAGGGTTTATGCTTGACTCGAGCTGTATGACAAGCGCTTTCGGTACAAAGACCCTTCAGTTCATTGATTGTTGTGCCTCAAACTAAACCTAAATACTATATCTGTGCCTCAACATACACCTGAACACCATATCACCCACCTGTTCAGGGTTCCTTAGTACGATCTGCAGGTCGGTGAAATTTTAGGGTCCACTAAGGAATGACGTTGACTTTCAGGGTTCCGAGGCATAGCTTGAGAGAGCTTGGCAACAAGTTTCGGGGTAGTCAGCTTTCAGGGCGTAATGTTGACTTAAAGGATCATGGGACTCTTACAACTACTTATAACCCAAATTAAGGTACTTATAACCTTACTTACTAAGTACCATGATCCTCCAAGTAGAGCTTAAGGAGGGGGCGTGTTCCGGGTGAATGTGCAGGACCTGCCCAGCATCTCTCCCATGTTGTCGGACATGTACGCTCCAAAACTCAAGAGCTTGCTTGCAATGCCGACTGCTGTTTCAGGTGGTCCGAGGGACTCGAGAACTCCACAAACTGAAACGGGTGGGTGGGGGTGGGGGTGGGGGACAAGCCAAAGAGAGCACTTCGGCTGTCTTGCACCGCATCCCGAAAAGCCGCGCCCCCTAAATCCTAAACCCCAACCTGAAGCCCCCGGATTCCCGACTAAACCCTAAACCGACTAAGGCCAAGACTTTCGAAGGTTCTCCGCGGTCAGCTTTGCGATCATCGTGTTAGACGTCTGCGCAGCGACAGGATCCCAAACCCTTAAACCGTCAATCCCTAAACCCGAAACTCTTCAACCTCAAACCCTTAAATCCTTAAACCCTTAGTCCCTAAACAACCCAAAATCCCTAAACACTAAACTTAAGAAACCCTGAACCTATAAAGTTTGTGATGTGAGTCTCTGAGTTGTTGCCTTTGCCGACTCTTGGCCCGTAACTACTTGTCCAGTATCCAGGGCACTAAAGGCTATAACCTTTGGGATTATAGAGGGATTAGAATACCCCAAAAAGGGTTACGTACTCTACTGCTAGGATTGTGGAGGGGACTTGAGATTCCAGAGCTTTCTCTACAGAAGAGCCCCAGACATCCAGTGCCAGCAGGAATCACGAGGGTGTGGGTTTCGAGGGTCTAGGGTTAAAGGATGTAGTCGGTGTATTCCATGTGACTTGAGCGTTAGCGGTTTCAGGATTGAGGGCTTCTAGGTCTTTATGTCGTATGGCCTGAGGGTTTTTGGTGAGGTCTTCACGGCTTGAGGGGTCTTAGTGATTAGTGCCCAAGGCTCGTGGATGTTTGTTTTCTAGGATGCCCAGTAACCTAGGAATAAAAAGGGCTCCCTTTTCGGTATTGGGTAACTTCATAAGGAACCTAGGACTACAAAAAGGGAATAAGGGTACTACTGGGCATCCTAGTTTTTCGTTTTTGTGGTAGCCCTTTTTCAATCGCGGCAATCGATTGGTCTGCGCACACGGCCACCGCTTCCCAAATCCTAAACCCTGCTAGTTTTTACCAGACCAGTCTAGAAATTACAAGCGCCCTTTACGAAGAAGAACGGCGACAGGCGCAATTTACCTTCAGCCCCCAACCCTACACTTTGATCTAACCCCTTCGAGAGCCCTGTTTCTGTTGTGAGTAAGCCCCGTATGAGATCCCAATCACAGAAACCCTTCTCATTTAGAAGGCCTAACCCTAAACCTTAAACCCTAAACCCTAAAAACCCTAAACCGTATAAGCCAAAAACCCGACATAACCCTAAACTCTCAGGCTCCAGTGTGACGGCTCAGATGAAGAGCGAGAAAGGCATGGTCTTCATGCCTGTGAATCAAGAGGCCCAGGATGTTGCTTTATGTAGGGCCCCTTACTGCAACAGATAGAACGAATACACACACACACATATATGTGTATATATGTATGAATATAATATTATTATTGTTATTGTTATTAGTTACATTTATATATATTTAACAATTTATATTTATTTTTGTTTGATTATATTCATTTATACCTATTCATATTTAGTTCTTTTTTTACATGTCCAGAACTCTGTTGAAGGCCTGAAGTGGCTTGGGTTTAGACCTGGGTTGAGAGCTTGAGAGTTCGGGTTGCAGGTTTAGGGGTTCAAGGCTAATGCGCCTAGGGGTTGAAGCTTGTAGGTTGGTGGAAAATTTGGAGCTTCCAGGGTTTTCATTAAGTCGCACTGAACCTTTCGGTTTAGGTGCTGTGGTGGGTCGTTGTGCTGGCTTGAGGCATCAAGGTTGCAAGAGCCACAAGCAAAGGTGGTACGAGGGACAGCAACCGCTGCTGGTACTTGAGGAAGCAAAGCCGTTGGCAGCATAAACCAAAATGTCATTTGCCAGTTCATGCGGGTAGAGCTTCTAAGTCTGGTAGGAAGGAGGAGGTATCTTCTACTTGTCATGACCACAGCGATTATTCAAATGAGTGCGAATGCACCATTCCGATTGTTGCGTGATAGCCGTAGGCTGAGAGGGTTCGCTCACTACAGTCATTCTGCTAAGGAGAAACGGTGATGAGGAGGAGCAGGAGAACGAAGATAATGGCGATCATAATGCGGAGGAGGAGGAGGAGGAGGCTATCTAGGAGGATGACAGTGATGATGACGATGGTGATGATGATACAGATATGAGGTCAATCGTGTCGCATCAACCATAGTGAGTACAGAGACTATGGCAGTGACAGTCCTCACCAGCACCATGACGATGAAGACATGCGCTGAATAACATTGCCAGCAAGATTGGAGTATTCCAAAAGCCATGCGATCAGACTGAAGGGCCTGTGGCGCTGATACCTCATGCTCTCCGGTGGACGTCACTGAAGAGCGTCCAGTAGCATGCGATCAGACTGCTGCCGCAACTGCCCTTCTTCCCAATCTCGAAACCGTACACAAGACTATCCCGTACGAATCAGCCTTGCGAGTATCTTTCCGCAGATGGACGCATGAATCGCCCATTCCAAAACCCTCGAAACCTTGAAAACTCCAAATCCAAAATCCCAGCGTCCAAACCCAACAACCCTGAACCTCTGAACTCCTACAACCCTACATGCCTACACAACAACCCACACCCCAAACCTCAAAATCAGTACGCCTTCGAACTCTGATAGCTGAGTGATGTTGTGCCACATGCTCTCGAGCCTGCCGCAGTGGAAAACACTGGTTTACGGCTCTATTGCTTATCAGGCTTAGGGTTAAAGGCATGAGCTTCAGCATAAAGATTTAACTAAGTTCAGGGACTGAGAGGGAGTCAATGTTTTGCGAGAAGCTCAATATCCTGTTTTGCTACAAACACAAAAAAGTAGCGCATGGCTGCCTGGAAACAGGAGCAGTGGTGACGTGTAAGGTTGATCCTTGCTGCGCAACCCCTGAATCACGGGCCAAACCTTCAACCCCAAACCCTCCGTTTACTCTCAACAAAATGTGAAGTCTCCCGAAAACTTGCGAGTGTCGCTGGGCGCTGGGCGAGAGGTGCAAGTCTTCTGGATCATTCGCGCGAAAAAACCTTAGCCGACGGTGGCTGCGTCGAGAGCCCGTTTGAGAACCTTATTTCTTTCAGAGCCAACTTTTAGAAAATAAGGCTAGCTGGCGTGTGAGCTCTATGGGGCCAATGTCTTAGGGTGCCTTAGTTGTAGTATCTTTTATCCCATATCCCTATTCTATCATTATGGCCGCTGTCTTAGCCTAGCTCATGCAAAAGAACCGAGTCTCCAGCCATTCGCGAACGAATCGAATAGGTCGGCTGCAGGTGGTGATGATGGAGTGGCGATAGCAAAGGAACTCATCCTGCGACAATATAGAAGCCTGCATTAACAATAAAGTCATTTATTGTTACTGTTTCAGGGCTCCGTGTTAACTGCTATGAACGTAGCAATTATTTGGTTGCAACTGCGTACTTTAGAATCTGCTTCTAGCTCTGGACCTTTCAGTTGGTGCGCATTTCCTCCAAGCTAAAAGCACGGCGTGTTCAAATCTGATGAGCGAACATACTGTTGATGATATAAACCCTGCATTACTCTTCAAGAGGAATATACAATAACAATTCCCATGTAGGGTCACCAGGGTAACGCAGGGATTATATCATCAACCGTATCACAGAAGAAAAAACATTGAAAAACCCTTCTATCAGCGATCTTGAGAGCACGGACCAGTGCACCTGCACACGCGGCTCGCACACGGGCAGCAGGCAATTAAGATTTCGCCGCGTATCTCTGAACCCTTACCCCTGCAGACCCCTGCATACAGGATGCAAGCGGACGTTTGCATCAATAGCTGCTTTTTCATATCAGCTCAATGGGGTCTTATCTGATGTCGCCAGATATTCCCGGTGGTGGCGTTGGGGTCTACAGAGCAACAACTCGGCATTTAGCGTGTGGAAGACCATTTCGGGCGTAGGCGTCGGAAAATTGGTTTACCGTAGGCGTGTTATGCACTGTGCTTTGGGGCTTCAGCTTTGCGCATTAAAGGTGTCGGCTTGCCTTCATAATCCTGACACCTTGAGGTCCATAGCTCAAAGGAGCCGCGACACAAAACTAAAATCTTACAGCACGACTGAGTCGATGCTGGAATCGAGGTGAATTTGGAAGTACGAGGCGCTTGAGACCCCAACCCCTAGCCCCAAAGTAAAACAAACTCAGCTGTATGCCCCAAACCCTAAGAGCCCTGCCAACTACATTAAGCTTTCACGACAAACAAGTGCGAGCTGTAGCAGATGAGCAGCTCCAGTATAGTACCTCGAATTAATTACGATGCTCATCATGACGAGCCCATGAATGGAGTAACATCTCATCTTAACCCTAAGCCCCCAACCCTAAACCCATACCCCCGAAACCCTAAACCCTTAAACCCTAAACCTATTAATAGCTCCAAGTCATTACATCAGCTCAGTCCTGAGGAAATTTCAGCGCTGGCCGGACCTCTTTCTCATGGGCCCATTTTTGTGCAAGCTTTGCCTAGGGCCTTACGTGTTCAGGCTGCATCTCGCCGAATTCAATATCGGGGCAGAAATGCTAGTCAGAACAGGGCTTGGGAGGGGAGGGGGGAGGGGGTATTATATCATAACTGCAAGAACTCCTAAATACTATGGGTAACAAGGATTCAGCCCTCTACATGATCTTGCAAGAAATTACGTGGCAGAAGGGCTAGGTTGACGTTTAGCTGGCGTTCTGGTTCAAGGTCCGCCTCAGTACAAACATGCCCGCACCTGGCATGCTAGCGACAGCGGCCACATTCGGTTCTTGACCTCCACATCGTCCATCCAGTCATCGTCTTCGATCGTCATGCTCATCATCGTCATCACCATCATGATAATCATCATCTGCATCTTCTTACCATCATCACCACCACCATAAACATCCCCAACAACAGCAGTTGCAAGTAATTACAGCACCAAGTTTTGCACCTGCAACAACAACAGCAACAACAGCAGCGACAGCAGCTGTGTTCAGAAGGTCAAGCAAATTCCGAACATCAAGCGAATCATAAAGCTAGCAACTGACGCGACACCAGATGACGAACGCCCGACCAGCAAGAGAAAGCCGATACTTCTGCCTAGGTTGTGGAGGCTGAGCCCTAAATCCTAAACCCTAAACCCTAAACCCCTAAACCCTAAACCCTAAACCCTAAACTGAGACATTGGAGTGCAGGGTCCAAAAAGTCTACCTCAACTCCGAGGGCTTGAGACTTTGGCTTTAGGGTAGGGGCCTTAATAATTAGAATAGGGCTTGGGGGGTCTATTATACATAAAACTACAATAAGGAACCCCCAAAAGAGTATAGGTCTTTATTAAGGCCCCTGTATTAGGGTGTGATTCGGGGTTCTGGGCTAGTAGTCTTCAGGGTCTGGGCTTTGGGTTGCGGTTGCCTGTTCGACAGCCCGCTGAGCATCCGAACCGCGCTGTAGAGCGGCGCGAGATCACGCCGCACGAAGATGGCGTCGTAACCTGGGTTGGCTTCGGACTGCAGTGGTTGCGTTTTCGGGCGAAGGCCTTCAGGGCGGTTTCACCTCGGAGAGGTTGATACGGTTCTGACATGTTCCACAAGAAAGTACTCGGAGCATGCCCACATGGCTTCGAGCGCAGTTGCAGCGACCCTGCTGCCTGTACCATCGTCAGAATTGGGGCAGCAAGATGTGTTTGGGGGAGTGAACGACAAACTTGAAGGAACCCTGAAGGGATCCGCTAAGGAACCCATAAGGGTGGCTGGCAAAATTATGGTCCCTTTTTGGGTCCCTAATATAGTACGGCACCTATTAGGGTGCCCCAAAAAAGGGACGCGAATTTTGACAACCAGCCAAATAAGGAACACTAGGGCTTCGGGCTCCTTCAAAATTCCTGTAAGGGTTCTCTGTACGGATTTGATGAGGGCACTGGGGCTTATGGTGTTCAGGGCCTCGCTGTAGTGTCTAGGGTTTCTAGAGCCTTAGCAGAATTCCTGCAAAAAAAAGATATGCTCCATCCGAGCTCTGTAAACCCTTAGATGCCCATAACCCCAACTATATACAATAATCCCCATAAGCCCTATAATCCCTGTAAGCCCTAGACAACCAACCCTAAACCCAGAATAATACCTGTTATACTCCCTGTATCCGTAGAAACGCCGCCAAACCAAACGCTGAGTCAAACGGCCGAAGGTCAATAGCTCGTAGCCGCGAGAGCTGAAGGACCTTCGGACGCACTTGATTATGCACGTATAGGGTACCCAAAATATTAGGTGCCGTATTATAATAGGGACCCAATAAGGGACCATGATTTTGACAACCACCCACCTTTGTCTTGCTATTTCTTCAAGGGTTCGGGGCTTAGCTATTTACTGTTGAGTTTTAAGGGTTTAGGACTCATTTCGCTTTGTCTTACTACCTTCCTTGTTCATCTTGTTTATATTGTTTAAGGTGCTGGGTCTATCATGGTTTACCTGACCTTACTATTTCGTTCACGGGTTTGGGTGCTGCTAAGCACATCTCTATCTGATTCAGACGCCTGTTCTTTTGTGAGGTTTGTCGTAAAGCCATTTGTGAGACTCATGGTGTGAGTGCGAGTTAACAACGCTTCATTGCTAAGTCTTGAGGGCCTGTATGCGCTCGGAAAGCACAGCTACGGCGGGCTGTTTATCTATGCCCCTGTACACCTTAAACCGTGGAGTTCACCTGTGTCTAAGCGTTGTAGGATTTCTCGGTTTTTGTAGGTTTCATCGAACCCTGACCGAGGACTAACGGGGCTCAAAGCTTAGTAAAAGTGCCCGGGCCGGGATCGAATCTGAAATTTGTCTGGGATTTTCGCTGCATTTTCTACGCATGACTCCTGTGCGGGGTTTAGGATTTAGGGGTTTTGGGTTTAGGGCAAGGCATCCATGTTTCATGGGCGTCATGGGCAAGACCTACTCAAGCCTTCCGGCCGACAGCATTCTAGCCCTAGACTCGGACCTGAAATGTGAACCCAAACCCTGAAAGTAACCTATACACCCACTGCCTTGCCGTGACACCGTGCCGATATGGGAGTTTCCGAAAATAGGAGACCCTAATATAGTACCTGAAATAGTAGGATCCTTGTTATACGGGCCCCCAAATAAGGTACCCCTTGTTTTCGGAAATTCCCATATCCCTAGCATGGCCTGATTGCATAGCTCAACGAACAGCTCGTTGTCGAGTATTGCTGTGCCCAAAGCCTGTGATAGCTGCCGGCGCTTATCATCTTGTGCTCCTAGGTTGATAAGCCAGCTATGACTACTGTTCACACTGATCTTTACACAGAGATTGACAAGGATCGTCAAGGAGAGACATCTCGAAACACGGCGGCTTCTAACCCCTTACACCAATCATAAGACAGAACATTACCATGAATAAACTCTTCAGCCTACCTTGTAGCCAAAATCCCTACACCTTGAGACCTGAATGCACACCAGAATCCGATTTTGGACTTCCCTGCGCTGCGGAGGTAGGATGCGTGATTTAGAAGCTTACCAGACACTAAATCTTGAACACTAGTCGAACTTCGGTTCGCACCAGCACGAAGGATGCAATGTTTTCAGTTCGAGGGCGCAGACCCTAGGGCTGGAAAGGTGAGCTTTCGGGAAATGAAAGTGTGGTAATATTGGGGCCTGAATAATGAGAATAGGGTTTTGAGGTATATTCCAAAATAGTATAGGCAATTATTAAGGCCCCTATTTAACGAGCCCCCGGTTCAAGCAGCCGGAGTACAATGGAGTAGATTCAGCAAAGCAGAGCCGAGTAGATGTCGTGCTGTGTACTACAATATGTTCGTGTGTGATACAGTATCTCGTCGGTAAGGTAGCCTGAACTTTCAACTCCATCAATGAGGTTGCAGCCTCGCGTCATGCAGGCCATATCCACGGGAAAATTTGAACGGCGGAGGCACCTTGCTGCCCAGGGGGTGGGTTTGCGTAAGATCAATGCGTCACACTTTTTGACAATGGCTTCATGCCATAAGCCTGCTTTTTCAAGCATTAGCCTGCTGAGCCCAAGTTCCTTTCAAGTGAGCGATTGCTGCAACAGGCAACAGGGCTTTCGGGAGAAGGTTTGTGCTACTTTGTGTCCTTCGGCAGCACTGAACAGCTTTGTGGTGGTCGTGGTGGTGGCGACAATAGATTCCAGTGCATCTCGTTCTTGACCCTGATGGTGCTACTTCTTAACTTAACAACTCCCATATTTCACCGACAAAGCTGCCGCCATAAGTGAACCTCCCCCTTCGAGGGCCTGTTGCGGTTTGGGCTTAGGGGTTAAGGGTCTAGGGTTTCTGTCAGATGCTACATCAATCCTGCGAAGTGGTCGCCAGGACGCGATGGGACATCATGCATCTCGAAACCGTTGTTGTTGCCCTAGTTCCGAAGCAACTTCAGCTTGGACGGTCAAGGGTTGGGAAATTGAAGTATATTGTAGGCTCCTTTCTGCTGCAGAGGATCTGGGTTCTGAAATCGGGTTTGATTATTCCGGAATGATTGGAGGTTATTCTAGGCTTAATATTATCGCTTGCAAGGGATCAGGTTTCGGGATTGAGGTATCCCAAACCCCGGATACTCGGCCACCCGACCAGCATGTTGATCTCCAAATTCAGGAGCGCAGGCAACTGCAGCAGACGTCTGATAAAACGAGTTATGCTGACATACAAATACATGTACACATCCATTGATCCTGACCGCCATGCATACATACGTCGATACATCGGTACATCGATACACCATCCATCCATCTATCCCTCCCTCCATCCGTCTATATATCCATCCACCCACCCACCCACCCACCCAGCCATCGGCCAAGCCACTCGGCCAATCCATCCATCTGGCCATCCATCCATACCTGCACATACCCACATGCGTACCTGCCCCTGCCAACGATCCACACTCCGAGCTGCCCAATCCACGTCAGACAGGTAAAGCCTGTAATCCCAAAGACAGCAAGAGGCCCTAAACCTTGTGGCAACACGCCCGAAGCCCTTATCCCATAATCGTGCAGCTTGCAACTTGCAGCCCAAAAGTTCGAGACTCACCCCCGTGAAATGGCCAATATAGGGGCCTATTAATCAGAATAGGGTTTTGGGGTACATAATTATGGGATAATGATGACAAGGAGCCCCAAAATAGTGCTGATATTTCTGCAAGCCCCTATACTTAGTTGCTGAGTTCATAAGCCCCAAAATGTATACACTTTCAGTTTTATACTGGGTAACATTATCCCCAAAAGTGTAAAGTGCATCCACTCAGCTACTAGGTATATTAAGCCGAAACCTTGGTCAGCTGGCCTGCCGCCTCTCACCGATGGCCTCGGCAAAGGGAGCTTTAGGGGATCCTGTTGCAAATCGCATCAGAAATCACTGGTTGGCTGCCGTATCAATGTAGGGTTTCTGGGCTCTTGCTAAGGGAGTTAATTTAAGTTACCATAATATTGAAACCATGATAATTAGTAATTTAGTATAGACCCGGACCATGGTAACCTAAATTTAATCCCTTAACAAGAAACCAGCTTAGGGGCCACAGCAGCCAGACCAAGCCCCTGGCACCATCCAGAAGCGCTTCAAGGACGGGGCATTCGAAGGTGTCAATGTCTATTACGACCTGGCCAAAATTCACAGGTTTAGGGTTCAGGCTCAGGGTTTAGGTTGAAACTCTTGGGGTTGACAAAAGAGAAAGGAAACGGACCAAAAGGGGCGACTCACTTGCCTGGGAGGGCGCCAGGAGCGTATGGCCCAGGGCGTATGTTTCTACCATCGTTGTCGATGCTGGCCCGGAACCGACTTCAACCCTTAACCCTCACGGGTTAGCAGCCGATAGTGATCACACTCGTGGACAAGTCAACTCCATGCCTACTAAACCTTGGACTCTGCCTTAAACCACCATGACCTGCTTCTTTGTAGGATCCAACAAAACTCTATAATAGGCATAGGGTACCTATTAAGAACCTGCAAAAGGGAAGTAGGTTCTGGCAGTTTATAGTAGAGCCCTAAACCTTTTTAAAGGGGCCCATCTACCTGACAAGGGTCCTGCCACTTCGGGGGTCCATGGAATCTAGCCTGAGGCTCTCTTGGTTTGCTTGAAAAGCCGAAATCCTTCGAGGGCTTCCGAGCTTCGGGAGTATTCGGGTCCTCGGTCGGAAGAAGAAGAGCAATGATCAGCGAGTTCGGGTCTACCTAAAGGCCCCAAACTAGTTCCTTTTTTGGGTTCATATATGGAATCCGGAAAGGTAATCCCAGAAAGGAACTGCTATGGGGCCTCTGGGCAGGGTTTATGGTCCAGGGTTTAGAGTTTGAGGCCTCGCGTGTGCCTCGCATCGACACTCTCGAGTTCTGACTCGGAAGTCTCTGCCCGTCGCACCCCGGGCCCTAAATCCCACCTGAAAACAAAAGCTCTGAGGCCCTGCAGAATCAGCCGTGAGCCCGATCCCCCAAAGTCTTCCCCCTCAACCCTAAACTCTTCAACCCCTAAACCCTAAACCTTTCCATGCGTGCCAGTTGTGCGACGTCGATCTTCTTCAGCTGTCGGGCCTGTAGACAGGCACCGCGGGACAGGAGGCCTAATATAGGGGCCTTGCTAATTGTAAGAGGCTTGGGTGTAGGTAATAGACATAGTACATGACGGGGCACTCTCAGGAATAATGTTGAATAAACGCTAGCGCTCGCATCCTTCGGCGACCTCTGAGTGACTGTGGAGACAGGATACCCAGCGTCTGCCAGGGTCCGATCGCGAGTTCTGGCGTTAAGGCTAAGGGTACAAAACTAGGTTTCGGTTTGGGGTTTAGGGCCGTTTAGGGGTTCCCGGGTTACTTGGAGGTTCATGGGTAGTTAAAAGTGGGGCCATCAGTAGGGTAATTATACTTGTAACTCATATCAGGGGACTTATAAGCCTACTTATAACTACCCATGAACCTCCAAGTAGGGTTCGCAGAAAGAGTTCACTGCCACGGAATCCGAGGCCGAAGCCCAGTGCCAGACGTTCGCTGGCGTGATGTACGCCTGTCAGGATTCAGAGACTCCAAAGCCCCTTAATTTAGGAATATGCCTTAAATCATAATAGGATCCTGAATATGATTTAAGGTATATTCTTTCATTATGTAAGGGATATTGGAGTCTCTGGGGATTTGAGCCCCCACGCTTCCCAGAAAGCTCCCCCGCCCAGGGTACCGAACGCAAAGCCTATAAACCCTAAGCCCTGAACCTCAAAGCCCTAAACCTTAAGCCCTAAACCCCAAAGCCCTAAACCGCAAAGCCTAAACCCAAATCCCAAAACCCAAAGCCCAAAACGGACCAAACCGGAAGATCCTGAACTTTACAGGTTTAGGGTTTAGGCTTTAGGTTCTCTAGCTTTTGCTGACGCCTGCCTTTCTTTATATGTCCTATGTGTAAGCAATTCCAGACACTGAAGCCTCAGTCACAGGGCATGCTTAATGCTTCTGAAGTGCCTATAGATGCTCACCAAACATCTGAGCAGTTCTGGCAGAACTTTCGGCACATCACGATGCCAAACTAGGTTGGCCTTATAAGGCCCCTGAACTGTTTCGCACATAAACTCATAAAGGCCCAACAAGGGAAACCACAATATTCCAAAGGCCTATATACCAACAAGTAGCAACCTGTCTTTCAACGACTGACCCGGCCCTGCCTGTTCCACCCGAAACCGTGGTGGACGGTTCTGGCGCGCCCTAGGGGCAAGCTCCAATTACGCAGATCGAAGAGGGGAATGAGGCGTGGTCAGGGTTCAGTGTTTAGTTGCTTTAGGCTCCTTGTGGTTCAGGCGTCATAGGGTTCAACTACAGACGCTCGGGGCTTTAGATCTTCAAATGGGCCAATTCTGCTCGCTACAGTCCAGCCGGCACTCAGCCTCAAATTTTCGGGGGGTCATCGACTCAGTAGCCGAGGACACATGGCAGAAGCATGCATCAATGAACCATATCATGCTTGCAGCTTGGAAGCAGCAGGTGTATATACGTTATGCCGCACGATTTCGCTTTAGGGTTTAGGGTTCAGGATGATAATAAGGTTTATAGGGTATTATACTGAGACCAATCAAAAGGGCTCCGATTACTGGGTCTGGCCTCAGCACGTCGTCCGGCAGGGCCTCGATACCAAGGCCCCCCACACCTGCGGGCTCCAACAGCCACAAGAACCAATTTTACTCACAACATAGACAAGAGTCCATAGAAGATCTACTAAGAGCTTCTACACTCAGTCCTTTAACGGACACTGCCGCAATCGAAAGACCCAAGACGGGCACAGCTCCCTACCCGATTCACAGAATGCCGCGACAGAGCAGCAACGACACCAGAATAACAACAACGGCAGTAGCGTTACAAGCTTTCTCGCTGCTCCAAACCCTTTAATTAAGGAATATACCTAATACCCTCATTCTTATTAGGGTTGCGACTGAATGTAAGGTCTATTGCTTACTTAAGCGGTTTGGGAGTCTGTGGGAACCCCTGAGCACACCAACCCCAAACCCTCGTGCTACCTACTGTCTTCGAATTTACGTGTGCCAGCCCAAAATGTGGGTAGCCGTTTAGGGATCCCTGTAAGGCACCCCTAATTTCGGGAAACTCTAAATCTAAACCCTTATAGAGGCATTGAAAGGAATAGCCTGAATACGAAGCTTATCAAACAACATTGAAATTCATTCTGAAGCCTGCCAAGCCAAGCCCAACATCCAACACCCTGCAGCCGTTTTCCAAAAACCCTAACGATTCAAGCACTCCTGATAAACATGTGTTACAAAGAACAGGCCTACACATATGTTAACCCGTAAACCCTAAGCCTTCTAAACCCACACCCTAAACTCTAAACCATAAACGGACCACAAACCCTAAACAACGGGATTCTGATCTTGCAGCGACCCCTGTAAACAAAAGACCTCATACTTACCAACACACCCTCACCTCTCTGCATGATCCCTACCTTAACCTACCGAAACCTACTTTTGTCTAACAGGGTCGCTGTAAATTTCGTATGAGGGGAACTAATCAGCACCTACTTCTTTGTAGGTTCTGGTGGTTTAAGGCAAAGCCTAAACACCCTCACCTCTCTGCATGATCAGCTGGTAGACCGGATCTCCAGACCTGCACACTTCTGCCCAACAGCCATGACATGGTTTAGGGGTTTAGGGTTTAGGGGTTGGGGTTTGGTTGAGGGTTTGGGGTTTAGGGTTTGGTTTTAGGGTTTAGGGTTTAGGGCTTGGTTTAGGGTTTGGGGTTTAGGGCTTGGTTTAGGGTTTGGGTGTAGGGGTTTAGGGTTTAGGGGTTTATGAGGCATTGGGGTTTAGGGACGGAAGACTCAGAAACCCAACAATCATCCGAAGCCTCGACCAAAAGGTTGAGGTCTAAGGCAAAGCCCTTCGTGAACTACTTGACGTAGTGTCTAAGGCTCATGGTGCAGAGTGTAGTCAGTGCTGAACCCAGAAGGACATGGCAAACAAAAAGGATCCTCCACAAAAGAGCCATATGACTGTCCATAGTAGTGACTGTAGCTCGCGTGGATCTACGAGCCCTAAACTTTCATTCCTAAACCCTCGACCCAGAATCCGAAATCCTGAGCCCTTGATCAGCCCTCGAAGGAAG